TATAACTAATGATAGGTAGAGCTTGGCTGAAAGCAGAGAGTACCAGAGGAATGTCTATCTGTGTTTCATTGAGTATGCAAAAGCTTTTGATTGTGTGGATCGCAAAAAAACTGTGCCTGAGTATGAGAAAACAGGAATCCCAGAATATCTGATTGTGCTTATGCGAAACCTATACTTGAACCAAGAGGCAGTCAGTCGTCAGAATAGAATAAGGAGACACTGCATTGTTCAAAATCGGGAAAACGGTACACCAGGATGTAGTCTGCCTCCATACCTTTCCAATCTGTATGCAGAATAGATCATCAGATCATCCAGGATGCTGGGCTGTATGAGGAGGAATGTGGCATCAGGATTGGAGGAAGACTGAATAACAATCTGCATTATATAGATGACACAATCCTCCCTGCTGAAACTGAGGAGGAAACTGAGGAGGACCTGAACTGCTTGCTGCAGAAGGTCAAAGACTGCAGGCTTCAATATGGATTGAAGCTCAGCATCAAAAAAACAAAGATTCTCACCACAGGGCCAAGTGGCAGCATCATTATGGACAGTGAAGAGATAAAGATTGTTAACAGTTTTAGTTTGCTTGGTTCCACAGTCACCAATCTTGGCACCAGCAGGCAGGAAATCAAAAGACAAACTGAATTGGGAAAGTCAGCTGTCAATTATATCAGGCTGGAGGCTAAGGTGTGCCTGATCTGGGCCATAGTCTTTGCAATTGCATGCTATGCGTCAATGACCTGGACAATGACTAGTGATAACTGAAAGAGAATTGATGCCTTTGAGCTATGATGCTGAAGAACAGTGTTGAATGTACCATGGACTGCAGGAGAACAAACAGGTTCACTGGACTGCTCCGTGGAGGCAAGGATTATGAAGCTTTGCCTGACATACTCTCGGCATGTTGCAAGGAGGGGCCGGTCCTTGGAGAAGGACATCAAGTTTGGGAGGATGGAGGGACAGTGCAAGAGAGGAAGACCCTCAATGAGATGGAGCGATTCAGTGATTGGGGTAATGGGAGTAGGTCTGTCAGAGACAATGAGGTTGGCACAGGATAGAGCAAGGTTTAGGGCACTTGTACATAGGATCGCTATGAGTGGCACGCAACTCAATGGCACATAACAACAACAACTCTTAAGTTCTACATCCCTAAGTGCAGCTCCATTGTGGTTGCATAGTAATTCAACTTCCCTGAGGAGGCTAGCCCTACAAATAATAGTAACCAAGAGTGTGAGAGCCACAAGGGCCCTTATCAGTAAGAAGGAGAATGTAGATATTCAGTGCAATGTTGTTGTTGTTGTTATGTGCCGTCGAGTCGCCTGCGACTCATAGCGACCCTATGTACAACAGCCCTAAACTCCGCTCTGTCCT